ATTAGGGACGGCTAGCGCAGATAGCCCTCGTGTAACTTTGCGCGAAATTCAAAACAAACAAACTTAACTTGCCCAGAAAAAAAAAGAAAAGACTATGTACTTACAACTCTGCTTCTACTATTCGACCATAAACATACTGGTTGTTATTATAACCCAACTACTAGTGGGGTTAATATATTTTATACTATTGAGTAATTTTATTCCCTTTCCTTTCATAACACTCACAGTAAAGAAATTTCCCCCCCCCCCCCGAGAAAAAAAAAAGAGAGATTGAGATCACCCATTTCCTTTACAGAATACATAAGGTACCGTAGTGGTAAGTGGGATTTAGTTCAGTATTGAAACTATTTCGTTTACATCGTTTGGGCGATTAATACGTTATTGGTTTATTTGTTTGCAGTCAAGTTTGAAGCTACACAATAAGCTATTTCTGCTGTGCTCACCACGGGGATCGAAACCCGGATTCTAGCGTTATAAGCCTGCAGACTAGGCGCTGTGCCACCCAGGAGTATGTTATTAGGAATCTTGTAAACCCCTCCTCCCAAAGAAGAACAAAACAAAGAACAAGGATTTACAAAAATAAATAAATAAAAGTCAGTGCGTAAATAATTTTAAAAGCCGATAAAGTCCTCTTTTTTTTTGGAACCCAATGGTAATTATACGGCCAAAGTTCTCTTTACCATCAAAACGATAAACGATTAAAAAGTCTGTTCTTCATGACCGATGAAATATGACTACATTATCATGTACAGTCCCTCTAATATGTTAAGATAACGAAGCGTTTTTGTTGTTGTTGTTGTTGTTTTCTAGCATTACAACATAAAGTTTTGCCAGGAGACTTCTAAAAGGCATTTTAATTATGAGATCCTGAACCAGTCGATCGAAGCATCATCTTCAAACATGGAGGTGGATAAAGCTTGTAAGACCTCCCGAAACAACAACATATAATTAAATGTGAGAGTCACTCAATATTAATAAAACTCAAACTTTTTCTATTTGAAGTTGTTGTTTTTTTTACTTAATCGATTCTATTAATGGAAGATTTATTATTTATTTTCTTCATACAATTGAATTTTCTTTTTAGGGCTTTGGTGTTTGTATTTGTCACCGTTGTTATATTTCTAACGATTATTGCCACCTATATTAGATTAATTGCACTCCAAAGCGCGAATTGTTTATGAGGTGCTATTTTTGTTACAACTTGTACAGTTCTCTTTCGTTTCAGTATTTGAAGTTAAATTATTGGTATTCTAGTCTCTGATTTTTTCGTCTTATTTGGAATGCACTCTTTTTTTTTTCTTATTTTGAAATGCAATTTTTATGCAGCTTATTTCTGATGAAATATATGTTTTGCTATCATTTATTGGTATGTCATTACGAAGATTCATGGGTTGTATATCAAGTACGTCATAAGATAACTATTATGCAGACACACTTAAAGATCGATCTTGACACACTAATAACTTTTCATGCTGATTATCAATTACCTTTTTGTTATTATTCCGTTTTAATGCAGCTGGAAGTCTATCTAATACTAAATACTGTTAAATAGAAACAGTATTTAAAGTTTAACGAAATTCAGACTGAGAAAAAAAAAAAGGTTTCTAGGACGGAAAAATAAATGTGAACACATTGAATCGTGCATAGAAGGACCATAATAACACATTAAAAAAAGATATTATGGCCGCGTCAAAATGTGAAATTAAAGTGTGAGAAGAATACTACATATAAATATTAAAATTAATCCGGAATGTTTTAAAAATATGCTTTAAAGCGAATTTACATATTGAGAAGACTTCTTATCTGCACCGACAGGGCGGCGCAGCAAATCACACGTGCCATTAAGTCCTCATGTTCCTATACACCACATGTAAAATAGTTCAGGCGTCACACCAATTCCTGGCGAGCCATTTGGCGGAACATCATTGGTCTGATACGCATTTGATTTATTGAAATGAGAATTAGGAAAACATTTTACTAACACGCTTGAAAGACTTAGAAATTTAGTAAATGAAGGACCGAAAACTTCTGAAACTTGTTATTTCTTGTCGGAATCATTTGTGTGGCAGATACCAGCATAGTCAAAAGATAACTATCATGCTTCATAGAGATACGAGCAGAGATGGAATTTATAATATATTGTTTCAGTTACCTATTCTAGAATACTCCACGAAACGCTTCATCTATAAAGTCCAAATAATGCATGCAGTTTAGTTTGTTACAGACTACACGTGCAGTCTTGTTTACCACAATATGTATGTAGAATAGGTTGTTGGTGAGTACATGTGTACATGCAACAAAGAGAGTGTTAATGCTTCAGTACGGTAACATGGATATAAACAGTTATACTGTAGAATAGGTTGTTTGTAAGTAAACCTATACATGCGATAAAGAGAATGTTAATGCTTCAGTACGGTAACATAGATATAAACAGTTATACTGTAGAATAGGTTGTTTGTAAGTAAACCTATACATGCGATAAAAAGAATGTTAATGCTTCAGTACGGTAACATAGATATAAACAGTTATACTGTAGAATAGTTTGTTTGTAAGTAAACCTATACATGCGATAAAAAGAATGTTAATGCTTCAGTACGGTAACATGGATATAAACAGTTATACTGTAGAATAGGTTGTTTGTAAGTAAACCTATACATGCGATAAAAAGAATGTTAATGCTTCAGTACGGTAACATGGATATAAACAGTTATACTGTAGAATAGGTTGTTTGTAAGTAAACCTATACATGCGATAAAGAGAATGTTTGTGCTTCAGTACAGTAATATAAAACATAAACAATTATCATATATATATACATATACATATATGACTTTAAATTAAGTGCACTACGAATATCGTAAAACTTAAGTTCGCACATATATTTTGAAAAACGACATTTTTTTATAACCAGCATTAAAGATGAAGTAATGTACTTATTTAAGTAGTGTCATCCCGGAGTTTCTGTAGTGAAGGCAAAGGAGTCAGGTCTACAAGATGGAGAGGACACATCTTAGAGGGTAGTTCACTGACTCTTATATTTGTATTAATAAAGAAGTCATTGCATCTTTATGTTTATTACTCATGTGTACAAACATGTCTTCTTATAAACTATACAAATTGCTTGTTTGTTTGTAATTTAAGCACAAAGCAACACAATGGGCTATCTGTGCTCTGCCCACCACGGGTATCGAACCTCAGTTTCTAGAGTTGTAAGTCCGCAGACATACCGCTGTGCCACTGGGGAGCCCACACAAATTGCACAACCAAACTTGTAATAATAGCTTTAACACCCAGACGAAAACAAAACAACACAATTCTATGATATAACAGTTTGAAGCTTAAAACAAGACTGAATTAAGCAAAATAGTCACAGAGTTAAAGAAATAAGAGAACTGGATAATAAAACAAATTTTAATAAAAATCTTCAATATCAAAAGATAACATTGCATAGTTAACTGGTCCTTCACAGCACTTCACAATTAAAGAAAAACATTGCACAGTTATCTGGTCCTTCACAGCACTTCACAATTAAAGAAATAACATTGCACAGTTAACTGGTCCTTCACAGCACTTCACAATTAAAGAAAAACATTGCACAGTTATCTGGTCCTTCACAGCACTTCACAATTAAAGAAATAACATTGCACAGTTAACTGGTCCTTCACAGCACTTCACAATTAAAGAAATAACATTGCACAGTTAACTGGTCCTTCACAGCACTTCACAATTAAAGAAAAACATTGCACAGTTATCTGGTCCTTCACAGTACTTCACAGTTAAAGAAATAACATTACACAGTTAACTGGTCCTTCACAGTACTTCACAATTAAAGAAAAACATTGCACAGTTAACTGGTCTTTCATAGTACTTCACAATTAAATAAATAACATTGCACAGTTGACTGGTCTTTCACAGCACTTCACAATTAAATAAATAACATTGCATAGTTAACTGGTCCTTCACAGTACTTCACAAATAAATAAATAACATTGCACAGTTAACTGGTCCTTCACAACACTTCACAATTAAAGAAAAACATTGCACAGTTAACTGGTCCTTCACAGCACTTCACAATTAAAGAAAAACATTGCACAGTTAACTGGTCTTTCACAGCACTTCACAATTAAAGACATAACATTGCACAGTTATCTGGTCCTTCACAGCACTTCACAATTAAAGAAATAACATTACACAGTTGACCGGTCTTTCACAGCACTTCACAATTAAAGAAATGGCATTGCACAGTTAACTGGTCTTTCACAGTACTTCACAATTAAAGACATAACATTGCATAGTTAACTGGTCCTTCACAGTACTTCACAATTAAAGAAATAACGTTGCATAGTTAACTGGTCCTTCACAGTACTTCACAATTAAATAAATAACATTGCACAGTTAACTGGTCTTTCACAATACTTCACAATTACTTAGTACTTCACAATATTCACAGTTACTTAGTACTCACAATAATGACATGCAGTAACTTCACAGACGAACAAAGACGTCCAAACCATTAAAACTGTAATCCAGACCTGACATCCTACCTAAAACCACAGACCTGTCTTCTTTGTCTGTTCTTAAGCTCAATGTCCTGGAAAATTTAGTTCTTCTTGTCTTGTTCTGTGAGTTCTGTTCTCTCACAATCTCGGCTGGTCGAAAAAAAAACAACGGAAATTTCGATTAATGTAAAAAAGTACTTTTATTTACATACGGTTGAAAACTTTAGTCAAGTTAGAAGGAAGAAAACATTGTTAAGATGGCGACCAAACGTCCTCTACATTTACATAAGCTTTAAAAACCATATACACTGCACAGGACAATTAAAGGCTAGCTGGAAATTATAATATTTAATTCTGACAAGATTAAAACCACTATTATAAAATAATACACATTCGTTAAATGTTATGCAAATCAGGTAGTTGATATCACGTGATCTGAAACACAAATGAAAACAAACATCTAGTGGAGATATAGTTTTACATCCATACAGTATGTAACATCTGATTTCAACATGGTATACAATCACCATGAACAGTAAGGGTAGTTTGGGATCGACGTTGCAAAATCAATGTTGGTATGGTCCTCAGTTGTTTTATACAACCCTTTTTTAAAAACAAAAAGCTGTTCCCAGGGCTTTTTATAATCTGAATCATTTGGCTGGACACAACTTATTTTTCAGAAGCATCTCATACAAGTTTTGACTGAAATACTGTGCGGGTGTAGTAGAACACTCCGTACTTCAAGATATATGTCGTACAGTTTAAGACAGTGAGGATAGCCACTATAAAGCCTTCTTCAGTACAAGACAGCATTTTCTTCGGCTTCTACTCATTTAGCCACATTGCTGTCTGAATTTAAGGCCAAATGCGCCAGCATGTGTAGCACAAGGGTCGAAGGATGTCTTCCCTAGGATGTGAAGCATTAGTGGTATCATACCATGGCAAGTAGAGGTCGGTACGTCTATTATCGTTTAATTCTGTCCACACCATTCTTTCATGACCATTATATGCAAATCACTTTTGTATGAATTTAGGTTGTTTATCTTTCCAGTTTTTATACAAATGAAAATAGTCCATTATTTAGTTACAATCTGAAGTTCGAAAAATACACAGTCTACCAATAAATAAATAAATACTCTCGAAAATACAAATCAAACATCTCCATGACGTCATATGCAATAATCCTGACGTACAAATACAGGTATATTCATACCACGGACGAAAGGATCCTGTAATTATTTACAATTTCGCGAAGTTGCATCGTTGGACGATGACCAGTCGGTCAATCGTTGTCTACAGGGAACAGGACGATAAAATGTAGTGTCAGGTTCTGCATAGTCTGAACACCCACAACCAACAGAACGGACTCTTCCTGCTGTGAAAAGAAGTATGGAGAATGACCCACGCCAAACAGCAAAAGAAGTATGGAGGACAGGTGAAAGTGTGCCACAATATTATAAAAAAAGTTATGTTCATAACATAAGCAATAATGGCAGGGTTGCTTGAAGCGGTGAGGATCACAGATGCAGTCACATCCTTTGGCCTTTTGTGATTTCTCGGACAGTGGACATATCTAGGTTTGGTGATTATCTCCCAAGAAATCTTCGTTGAAACGTTTTTCAAACCGCAACAGAATATTCAGTATTACTGTTTTGGTGTGGGGTGTAATTTGAGCAGCTGTGCGATCACAGCTGGTGGTATGCAGAAGATTGGCCACTGCTGCTCAATACATCACATTTATCGAGCAAGACATTCTTTAGTACAAGACAGTATTTTCATACAAGATGGGCTTCTATTCATTTAGTTCGAGCTACAAAACAATGGCTTGAAAGTCAGATATGAACCCTACTGATCATATGTGATATATCCTCGATTATTACCTGTGAAAGAATCTCAAACAAACATTTTCTAGGGGTACCATCGTCCAAGTCCTTTGCCAGGAGTGAGGTGTAATCCCAAAGGCCCAAATCTCAGGTCCTGTAAATTCACTATGTAACCGTGTTTCTACCTTAAACATTGCAAAGGAAGATTCTTTAAATACTAATCGTAATCTTTATTTCACGTTTGGTTTCTGTAATTGATGTATAATTACTTGTTGGAAGGTTGTGTAATATTGGTCCACTGGACGTGTTCTTGGCATCATTGTAGGCGAACTATTTTGTGTCTTTCTGTGAGAGAGATGCACCTTATTAGGCATCTGGAATACAGAGCAACATATTCAATTTGTTTTTAATCACTGTAGAATAAATACGGCATGGCCAGATGGTTTGAGTGATTGACTCGCAATCTGAGGATCGCGGGTTCGAATCCCTGTTCCACCAAACATGTTTACTCTTTCAGTCATGGAGGCGTTATAATGTGACGGTCATTCGTTGGTAAAAGAGTAGCTCAAATGTTGGCGGTGGATGGTGATGAATCCCTCTCACACCAAACATGCTCGCCCTTTTTAGCCGTGGGGGCGTTATAATTTGCAGTTAATCCCACTATTTGTTGGTAAAAGAGTAGCCCAAGAGTTGGCGGTGGGTGGTATTGACTAGCAGCCTTCCCTCTAGTTTTCCACTGTTAAATTAGGGACGAATAGCCCTCGCGTAGCTTTGCGCGAAATTCAAAACAAACTAAATATGGCAAATAATTTCAACTGAAAACATCTGATTGGCTAATTTGTCAGGCGCGATGAGCCAGAATCGATAAATATTGTCGTCTGTGTGGGATGTGGGTGATGATCTGTCTTGATTACGTGTCCGAGCAACTGGTTTAGTTTGGAAACGGTTCTACAATTCTGTTAATGACACTAAGAAACACTTGTAATCAGCTTGCTGTGATTGGCCAGCTTTCACTTGTTCGATATTTCTCCACAGCCAGTTGGCATCAGCTTGCTGTGATTGGCCAGCTTTCACTTGTTCGATATTTCTCCACAGCCAGTTAGCATCAGCTTGCTGTGATTGGACAGCTTTCACTTGTTCGATATTTCTCCACATGAATGAAACATCCATATGTTTTCTTTGAAGTCTAGTCATAGTTCAAAAACGATTTGAAACACTGTAAAATTTGTGGTTCATTTTAAAATACCAATTGAAGTAAGTTTGTGTGAAACCACAATATAGAAAATATACTGAAAGACCAATAATTTGTAATTCATAGCCAGTGATCGACCATCAGATATCTGATTTATATAAAAAGTAACCGAAGTTGTGATTGACATTATTTTATTACATCATTGTTTAATATTACACATTTCTATTGTCCTTCAGTTTTATCTACTGTGTTAGTTTTTAATAATAAGGACATGTGATCAATGATAGCAAAATTATTTAATTAGTCATGTGAGTAGCCATTAATTTCCATTTTAGTCACGAGGTGTCTTTTCTTTCCTCACCGAAAGTTTGTTTGTTTTTGAATTTCGCGCAAAGCTACACGAGGGCTATCTGCGCTAGCCGTCCCTAATTTAGCAATGTAAGACTGGGTCGCGGGTTCGAATCCCTCTCACACCAAATATGCTCGCCCTTTCAGCCGTGGGGGCGTTATAATGTGACAGTCAATCCCACTATTCGTTGGTAAAAGAGTAGCCCAAGAGTTGGCGGTGGGTGGTGATGACTAGCTGCCTTCCCTCTTCAGATTGCGAGTCGAGTGCCTTAACCACCTGGCCATGCCGGGCCCCCTCACCGAAAGAAAATGTACTGTATGCAGAGATTCAGAAGAAAAGTACAAATTATGTTACGATTTCTTTCTTCAAGACTTTTAGCAGAACATTTCTTACTTAAAGACTTGGTTCTATAGTTCTTTATAAAACAAGAGAGAATCCTCAATAGCCGCGACACTTGTAATTACTTTAGACAGGATTAGAGTAAATTAATCTATGAGACCTTGGACATGGTGAAATACATCAATCGAAAGAGTTTGATCTCCTGAGTCCAAGACTGTAATTATATCTCAAATCGGTCAAGAGATGACGGAGCTATGAGCTAAAAGTTTGTAACTTGAAAAAAAAATCAGAGCCATTCTATGAGCCGCTATGCCGCAACTAAAAATAGCTAAAGTTCTTTAATATTTTTTTCTCATACAAAAAACTCTTTAAGAAATAATAAAAATGGCGAATCCGGCCTAAATAAATTGTTGTCTATCACGTGGTATTGTAAGAATAAGGTGATGTGAAATATACACCCAAATGCAATAATTACATGATCATGCTTTAAACTGTGATGTCATCTTCATGTGATTAATGATGTCGTGATAAGAGGTCGCATTTTAGATTATTTTAAGTTACTCCAGTGTTTAGGTTGAGAGTAGTTCAGTATCATTCTAGGCCTAATAGTTTCCTAAAGCATTCTATATATTCAGAGTTGTATGAACAAAGAAACTTTTCTTGACTTGTGGCAGTCCAGAAACACCAATATTTTGTATTTCTAACTAAATTAATTTTCAAACTCGTAGTTACTTCTTATTTCAAAACATCAATATCTATTTTTATATATGGCAAGCAAAAGTTACGTTAGATTTGAAACTCGCCGTTTTGCCGTTACAGTTCTCAGAGATTTACATAACTTATAGCCTATTTTGCTAAGAACATGTTGTTTATAACCATCTAAAGTAGAAAGAAAAACTGGTTTATTTACTTGTTTGTATTATATCATTAATATCAACGTTATAGAACTATTTAAAAATTGCGCTAGACTGTGAATCGTAGCGTTGTTTTTATGTTTCCATTAAAATCTTAGAATTTCTTGAAAATTATTGCATGTTCATTGAATAAGGCTATTTCGGAACTATTTCAAGACCCTCTTTGCAGTTCACCGATGAAAGTTAAATGTAAAAAGGTATCACTATTTAATGATATAATGTGAAACTTAAGACAATGAGTTGCAAGATATAGCAATGTATGTAGGGATCGTCATGAAACAAAATGGTGGCCATCGAAATCGCCCGTTTAAAAACCACCTTTAAAATGTCTGAATATTAACCATGACTATTTCACAGTACTGGCTAAACAAACCTAAAGCTGACTGTATATATAAATCGTTATATATACGTGTTTATGGAGTGAATCAAAATTTCAGTGTTTGAACGAACTTTCATTTAAGTTAGTAAGTGACTTTTCCAGACGAGCGTATAGAAAAAAAATGACGAACCTTATCGTTCTACGTTTGTGGTCTCAGTTAGTAATTTATTGGCAAATCACTGTAATTATGTTAGTCTGAGTCAAAGTATGAATAATATTTTTTAAATTTTAAGTAACTCAGTTTTTGTACTTTTGATTTTCTTGTTTCAATACGTTTTGTAGCATTAAAACTGTCTATATTACAATAGCTAGTTAGGTTACATATATATCGAACCCTACTTTTTATTATTATACCTGTACTTATTTAAACATTTCCATGGAAATAAACTACAGTTTTTCCTAAATGTTCCCCACTTAAATAAAAATTAAATGAGTATTGGATTATGATTAGAAAAACCAATCAGTTCGTGTCTTGTTTTCATTATTATTTTAATTTCGTTTATATATGTATTGGCACACGTATCACATCCAATACCAGAAGTTACATACAGGATTTTTATACTTTTAATTCTGGAAGTTGGGCGATTTCGTATTTATAATGACTATATACTGTCTGTGAAAGATAAAAAAAAGCTATATCTCCTATACATGTATTTATCTCATTTGTTATGTATACACACTTGTATTTACGTCTGGGTATATTTACAGATACTATAGAAAGTAGTTTACGTTTTAAAGTTTATGATGTTATATAGAGGCTTAAAAACCATAATCATTAAAAAATATGTAACTGGTCGAACTTGATAGTGGATGATTACGATGATGTACGAAGTCTACGTGGAGTTGTTAAAGTAATATCCAGAAATAAAGAAAGTGAGTTATTTGAAGTCACGGCCATGCTGTACGAATATCACGTTAAGTGACTTGTAATGTTCGTGAAATGCATACATCAAGGGAAGAACGACGTGCTTAACAGTTGAGCTTGGCTTCCCGCTGTCAATGCAAAGAATCTACTCAACAACATGTACATATTATTACATTTATATTGAAATCGCTAGAGATTTGAAAGCGGGAAGGAAAAATTGAAGTTGATGTTGTCGTATAGCTTTTTCCATCCTTTCTTGTGAATCACTTCGCTTTGATTTTTAAAACGTATGTTGAAAATAATTTTGTAAATTAATATTTATTTTACGTTTATAGTGTCAAATAAAGGAACAAGAAATTCTGGATTGGTAAATATTTCTTTTGAGTTCGTCATGAACATTTCGGCTGCAATGTTGATATTATCTCCAAACCTTATTATTAATATTTTAATGCGTATTGGGATAATACGTCAACTATGTTATTGAAAAATAGGTGTCAGATTTCTTAGAAAATATTAATAGTCAATACAGTAATATTAAAGGTGACATTGAGTTTAAATGAAAATTGACATTTTCAGACTACTTATCTTGCAATGGCGACACAGATGTTCATTGAATGACTATTTCGGTATATGTTTACCTCATGAATGAAAATAGATCTGGATATGAATTCAGGCAGTAGAGTTTATTTTATATTTGTTTGATCTAGTTATTTGAGCTAATAAACAACCGTAACTTTTTTGAGAAAAATCTGTATTTCAAAGTATTGGAGAAATTAATTCTTACCAAAAATTAAGTGTAAGACCCGTTTCAAAGTCTCTGTTAATAATATTTTTATTAACTTAAACAGAAAAACCAGACAGATTATCCAAAAGATTATTCGTAATTACAGAATTATGATATTTGAGTTAGTTTCGAGAAGCGTATTTAATATTCAAAGACTTTACATCACTTCAACAAACAAATATATATGTGTGTGTGTAAAATTAACCAGAAATTACAGTTTAACCAGCTTATTCTAAGGCTAAGTTACAGTGTTTATCTTATTGTTGTGTTCTTAGTGCAAAGCTACACAATGGGTTATTTACACTCTGTACACCATGAGGAATCGAACCCAGAAATGTAGCGTTGTAAGTCCGTAAACTTACCTCTGACTTACCTATTTATAGTATCTCATAACTTTGGTTTGCATTTCGAAATCAATGTAGCCATTGTATATGCAATCTAAAAAAATCGATTGTAATAGACAGTCGGAAAGTGTCTTGTCGTATCAGCACATCATCTACTTCTCTTATTTGCTCATCTTCTTGTATTAGCGCACTTCTCTGCAGTGCTCATTTAAAGCCCTTTAGTGTTCAGTAAATTCGATTTATTAAGAAAGAGATGTTTAAAATAGTGCATGCTATTTTGATATTGGGCATCGTACATCTGTTAACTGCTCCTGGTTTTTTGGTAAGATATTTTTTATTCTTAAATGTCACCATAGATTTAGCTGGATTCGATAATCAATTCAGAGAATAGCAGGATAACATGTAAAGAAATCCAGAAGATGCAAAGTGCCACAAGAGTTACACTTCAGTTAACTTCGGTAGTTTAAAGATAATTGCAACAACATGTAGTACTCTTTGGAAAAGGCCCTCGTTGGATCAGTGGTAAGCTTAAGGGCTTATAACGTTAAAATTCGAGGTTAGGTTCTGTCTTGGACACAACAAAGATAACCTATTACGCAGCTTTCCGTTAAACAACAAACTCCTCGAAAACAAACAAACAAACAAAACAAGTATATAGAATACAAAAGTAAGCTTTGGCACGCCATTCTTTCACGAAATTTGAAAACATAAATGCTTTTGTATATTCTCCTAGAGACACAGACAGACAGACAGACAGACAGACACACACACACACACACATATATATATATATAGAACGAGAGAGAAATAAGGAGAGAGAGAGAAACTGGTGCTAAATATGTAAAGAGTACAAATCATAGTTAATATTTAAAACTTACTTCTGTAAAATGAGAATCTTCATTGGAAATCCTAATACTTTTAAATAGCCTGACTCACAGTCGCATCCGCTCTAGTATTTCTCAAACAAAAGAAGAAGCTTGTAGGTATATAATATTATAACTTTAGTAAGTGTAAAACTACTTCTTCCTACCAAGAGCGTACTATTTTAATCGTTGTTTGTTACTTGAAGATAGCCAGTGAGACAATATATATGCATGTAATTAGTTGTAAAGATAATTAATATTAATGATGAAATTTAGTTGAATAGACGGCAACTGCCTGTTTTAGAAACACAAGTGTAGAGGACGACGTTTCGAAAGTCTTCCTGAAGACGAAAGGCGGAAGTCTTACGAAACGTCGTCTTCTACACTTATGTTTCTTCAACAGGCGATTGCCGTCCATTCAACTAAATTTCATCATTAATATTAATTATCTTTACAACTAATTACATGCATATATATTGTCT